CCCGAGTAGCATCATTTACGCCCGAGCGGACACGAGGGACACAAATAAACTATATGCCCGACTAAAGTCATGTGATTATCATTCTTATCAACACATGAGGCCAAATCGTACAAATTCATTTAATAAAATATATATCAGGGCTACAAATGCCATTTACAGCCCGCACTTTGCCGTTTGGCCCGCGAAAAGGACTGTTTTAGAGAGGGCAGTTTGTCATTTGGCCGCGTGTGGTGATAATAATTGCTCTTAAACCAACAGGGACTCTTTCAGTTGAGCTTCCCGCCCATGAGGCTAAGGGAGTTGGTTTACGACACTCGATCGAAGAAGGCGCTGTGTATGTGGTAACTTAGCTCGTTTTAGTTGCATTTAGTGTTCAGGTTAGTGTTGTCAGAAATTACTGAGTTGTTTTTCCTTTAGTGTCGGAATGGGGCGATATCATTGATGAAATGTCAGACCGCATGGCCAACCAACCCTCCCTTATTAGGAAGTTTGCGAAGGAAAGGTAAGACATTATTCAAACAAATTTAACATCCTGAAAAATGATAACGAATGCGATCTAAGCAAAGCTTAAATGCAATATGTACTTCAATAGTATTGACTGAGTGGAAGGGCCGAACGGGAAAATATTTGGCCGTGCGTCATGAACGAGAACCAAATATTTTCCTTCTGAGAGAAAATATTTCATCTTTCTTAAATTTCAATTTGACACCTTCAACACCTCTTTCTCTAAGGTGACCTTAAGGGTAAATAATTTGTACATTTCATCTTCTGCACTGAATTTTGAATTAGATAACTTGCTGTAAAGACCACGTAGCTTTTCTGGGAGCGGTGCTTGTGTACGCCCCTTCTTCTTCGAATCCTAAGTTTACTATGTTCTTAGGTAACAAACTTCGAGGAGTGTCTTCGTTCTAGTCATCTTTTTAAGAGCAATTCTAATTTACAAAACGGTTTCTTTAATATATTGATATTATCAATCTTGTTTCTATTTTGGCCGATCATAACCGCAAGAGAATGAATTTTTAGGTAGGAAGTCATCTTGTAAAGCGTAAACAACTCGAAGGCGCATACTTAGTACGCAGGAACTGTTGCACGTAAATTAACGTGATTTGCTGTTTGAGATAGAACGATGACGATGCAAGAACATGGACAGCCTAGTAGTGTCACCTTTTAAGTCGCCTTTAATAAGCCTGGTGAACAGCATCTTCAATCAGAATAGAATTGATTTCAGTAGAGAGTTGAGTTAGCAGTAAATTGTACAAGCAAGAAATAAAGAATTAACTGATAGTTATACAAAGCATCTGACACTATTTTTAGGTAGCCTCTTCTATCGGGTGGCTCACAAAAACGTGTCAGTAATCAAAGGAAGAAAACTGATGTTAAAAGCATAGTATCTCACGAGAAACATAATGTTAACTTTAATGGATATCTCGTCCCACACATTTTTCGGCTTTTTTTTTTTTTTTAGAAAAATAAAACACTGGGTTGAGTCACTTCAGTTGAATGTTGTTGCAAGAGTGCACAATAAAGCTTAGTGATGTTGGCAATAGGTTTGGGTAATATACACTTTCAGGGAGAATTTAAAATATTCTGTGTCAACATCTTGTTTGTTTGTTTTTCGGTCCATCTTAGTACAACAGACAAAGTCAGTTACCGCCAACACACTGATGACTTGGGGGAGCTTGAAAGAAAACTCGCCAAAAGAATCGACGATAAGGTACAGTGTACTTGGGCTACAAAAGTGCCTGGCTAAAAAACCTACAGAGTCGAAATCCGAACTTTGAAAGTCCACTATGGTTTTGTCCTTTAGTGAAAGTCAGATGTGGTCACAAACATTCTAATTTAGAGGCGTTCAAGTTTTCTTTTTCATTTTTTTTTTTAATTGAATTTGCACATTCATTACCCTTCGTTTCCTTTAACGCCCAAACAGAAAGCAGGAAGGGAAAAGGTGTTATCTTTTTTTGCGTGGTTCTAACCCAAGGCTCAACCGAGGCATTTTAGTATCAGTTACAGAGTCGCAAGGCATTATTACCACTTCAAAATTTTCATTCTTTCTCTCTTTTCAATATTTCAGTTTGCAAGTCTTGATCGAAAAATTATCGAGCTGTATGATGACTTGATGAGCCAGGTATCCCATACATCAGCTTCAAAAGGTAAACAAATAAAGACAAGTTTTTATTACTGGCTTTCTTTCCACGAGTCTTTTCTGCGATTTCAAGAGCCTTGTATTTTAACCATTCTACGGAATTTGCTTTTGTTTATACTCAGCTGCACAACAGACGAAGGTTAACTTGTGGGCGATTTTAGCTTAGTTTTGATCACATGATCGTTGCTAGTTTAGTTTTTATGAGCTTGAAACTGATCGAGATGTCATTACTAGTGTTGCAATGTTTCCCATTCGTATTACTATGAGTGACTGGTACAAGAAGTTTTTCTCGTAGCCGCGGCAAATACTTACCGTGTCTACAGTCGTAGTTATTCTGAGAAACGAAAAAGAACAGATGGGCAAACAAATAAACGGAATCCAGCGGAATACTGGTGAGAGTGTATCAAAATCAGCATCTAAAACCTCAGGTCCTTTATAAAATTGATTCGTTTTAACTCAAACCGGACAAGGAAACGCGATTCGTTCTCATTGAAAGCGAATACTTTCTTTAGTTCAGACATCTGCGAACGCTCTGTTGATAAAACACACCATTTCTGGTGTACGAAGCTGAAACAGGATGCTTTGAAAACGCTCATGTTAACATGGAACAACTACTTTCACCTTCGTCGGACTTGGGAAAAATTTGAAGAGGAGTATATGTTTCTTGAGCAAATTGTTATCATTTCAGTTCTGGACGAGAAGAAGACAGGAAAACAAGATTCCATCGGGAAACTTTATTCAAACGTGGATTCACTCTCAGAACAGGTGGGGGATTTATCCGAAACTAGTGCAACCACAACCTAATATAACATGATCTACTGTAGATTTCCTATTTTTTCAGAGGCCTTTAATGTGGCTCCTGTATGATAAATAAATTCCTAACTTGATGAGAGTACCCTCCTGTGTAGCTGTAGGGCTAAATTAGATGGTAGAGGACAATCGATAACTCGTTGTTAGTCCTTCATTGATTTCTTGAAATACGCCGATCAACTACGCAAGGCCAGGTGCTCGAACAGTAAGAGTTTTTTCCATGTGTACAGAAAGTTCGATTCCGGTTCAAAAGGAATGGCCTTCTCCAGTGCAAATTCTAGTATTATTAGTCTATGTGCCTTTGGTTTTCTCCCAATACCACTATAATAATAATAATAATAATAATAATAATAATAATAATAATAATAATAATAATAATAATTATAATAATAATT